GGCATTCGACACGTCAGTTGTCGAGGCGGCCCCTGATCTCGTGGTACAACAGGTCGCGAGAACTCGAGGGCAAATTCGACGATATTGGGCTGCACCATGTCAAGAGAAGCGACAACATTGCAGCAGACAACCTTGCATGACTGGGCACTTCAAGAGACCCAGTACCTCATGAGACCTTCTTCTTGGAAATATCACGTAAACCGTCCGTGAAGATCCAAGGTTCCTGGAAATGCACAGATGCGCTCTTTCCTAATTTGTCTAGTTACACTCGTTGCAACTACTCCCTCCGTAAACTAATATAAAAGTGTTTAAAATACTAAAATAGTGATCTAAATGCTCTTATATTAGTTTACAGAGGGAGTAGTATAGTACTCCACTCCAGCGGCCCAGGCATCGACCGTGGGTGATTTGATCGCCATAGTCAATTAGCCGTAGACTATTGAGATGTTTTAAGTAGTCGGTGGATGACCTTTGCCCTGACGTCGTGAGCCAAAACCTTGCCCTCGAGGTCATCGACGGCGCCCTTGCCCTCGCTCGCGCGGTCGCCTTGGCGGCCAAGCCAAAACGCCCTCCCTCCGAAGGCGCGTGCCCCAGGTCCAGTTCAACCTCCTCGACCCTAGCCAGTCTACGGTACGGACGCTGTACTACGCCTTGACTTGACCCCGCCGGCCCCGCCCGTTCCGCCGATGATTCCCACGTTACGCTGGCTGGCGGGCGCCCCCTACACCTACACGGCGGCGGCAGCACCCCCACCCCCACCCCTACACCTACACGACGACGCCAGCGGGGGCACGGCGCGAAAGACTGGGTCACGTTCCGTTCCCGGACCGGGGCGGGCGCGCAGTACGACTTTTTTTGCGGTTCATTCATGCCATGGACGGCGTCGTGTGGCGTGACGGTGCCGGTCAGCCAGCCAGTCACGGTAATTGGCTGGCTGGCTGGTTGGTTGGGTGCGGCGGAGGGGCTGGTGGTGGGTGGGTGGTGGGGGCGGGGCGGACGGGCGGCACGTCGCTCGCTGCGGATCCATGGGCGGACGGGCGGACGGGCGACTAGTCTGCTTTGGCTTTGGGGGCGTGCCGGCGTGCATGCTCACTGCTGTAGGCGACGCGCCTACGCCTGCTCCTACCCACAGTAGACTCCGGCGCGTCTCTAGATGTGCTACGTATGTACTGTAGTACGGTAGTAGGTGACTACCACTACTATAGCAGTACTCTACACTAGTCTACTATTCCTTCTTTGGTTGACAGAGCTGGCGTGGGTGACGCTATGCTACTCCGAGCACCGCTCCTACCAGAACTAGACGGGGGCGCCCGCTTTGGAGCGTGCGTGCTCAAGACAGACAGGCTGCACGTAGTAAGTAGCTGCGAATTTCCTCGCTGAGAGGTCGATCACATGCACGTAGTGGCGGGCAATTATTGCTCCTCCGAGAGGCTTTCGCCATGCATGGATTCGCAATCAGGGCGTGAGACAAAGGGAAAGCAGCTACACCTAGCGAGAATTCCGACCCTAATTCATCACCGGCACACTCTACTGTACGTGCCACTCCACTCCAGCGGCCCGATCCAGAAACGGCATGCACGGCTTTCTCCGTCCTCGCCAAGCTTCCGCCCGTCTAATCGAGCGCCCGGCCACTTGCTCGCAGCCCTGGATCGAAGCCGGCCACGGGCCGATCAAGTGCACCCTTCGATGGTCCAGATCATACACCTGACTGACTGAATCTCTCGGCCTCCACTAGCTGACTCACCCGGTCGCCCACCGAGAGGGAGAGAGAGGAGGAGGAAAAAGGCAGCGTGGTCTTTTTACACGCTCGCGCAAAATCACATGGCCTTTTTCCTTCTTTGCTCCATGGACCATATGCATCCACCAGCTACCGGTGGCGCCCGCCCGTCCCGCACATGCTGTTGCTCTGGCATTGCCAAGGATATCTGAGTGAGAGGGAGAGGGAGATGCATCTTGTTCCTCCCTCCCAAAGACCAAAAGTATCGGGTACGAAGCAGAAGGAAACGTGGATGCTGCAGTGCCACTAGCCGTCTATCTATCTATCTATCTATCTATCCTCTGCGTGCGACTGCGCGGGCAGCTACGGTGGAAATTGCACGCAGCGACGTGTGCTTTCAGATTCTTTTCTTCTTTCGCGAATTGACTGCTGAATATTCTGAGATGCTGCTGCTACTGCAGAGATGCTGGCAGATCGTCCAGAGCTCGAGCAGAACGGCACACACGACGTAGAGTTGAGACGGAGGGAACAAAAGTAGACAGGTAGATTCAATGTAATTTTGAACTGCATTCGTCATTTCGTCATTCCGGCCTGCATCCATGGCCCATCCTCGGAGCAAACCACCACGTACACAATAAGAACTTCATCTGCATTGCCCAGAAAATACTAACACCGCAGTCAGAGAGAGAGAGAGAGAGAGCGCTCTGCCACAGTGATTAATTCCGTTGTTATCTTGGTCTTATTGGCTCGGGCCTGAAGAGGAGCACCCAATCAAGTGCAATGTGAAGATGCGCGCGCCGTTCCAATCTCGTTCGTGCTTGCCTTGTCGTTTAAGAAATTTTGGCGTCGTGGAGGGGGCACGGCACGGCATGGACCATGCAAGATGCAGCATGCATGCATGCAGCCACGCCGCTGGCCGCTCGATGGCCGGGAGCGCCGTCTTTGTCACAGCCAGGCGACAAGTAAGTACGTACGTGCAGTACGTTGGGCTATCAAAACCTCGGCACACACAGCTTTCCGGCGCGTGTGGCTCATCGTGGCCATACGTGCTCTGCGTCGCCCAAGTAACATGATGAGGTCGCTGCTTGCTCAATCATTTCTCTTCTTCTTCCGAACAAGATAATTCAGCAATGGACGAACAGGCCAAGCCACGCCCTGCAGCGCAGACGAAACCTCCCCAATCCAATCCAATCTACGAGCAGCCTGGCAGATTTGACGGGATAGATAGACGTATGCGCACAGCGCCATCCAGCGGGACCAGTTCAACCGGGGCAGTGCGTTCCCGTTCTAGATAAGCTCGGCCGGGACGTGTCCCAGCGAACGAGTTATTGCCAGTAGGTGAGCAGCGTTTCCCCAGACGAAATCATCATCTGATTCTGATCAAACCCAAAGCCAAAGCGCTCTCGTGTCATCGGGGTAAAGAAAAGGAAATTTGCCCAAAAGCCAAAAGGGAGCGGAGAATTCGACCACGGTAGCCGCCGCGGGTGAAGTTTTCGGGGAAAAGGGAGGGATGAATCGTCGCAGCGGTGGCACGGTCTTTCTTGCTGGGGTAAAAAAGAAAGAAAAGTGATCCTCCGCCGCCGTGCCGTAGGCTCTGTGTCGGGCGCGGCGAGTAGACCGGTGACCGCGCCGCCGCCAAGGACAGCGGCTCACGAGACCGGTTTTGCCTCGCGCGGGTTTCAGATTCGATTCGATTCGAACGCTGCGGGTGCACTGCACTTTTGAACGATCCAGCCAACGTGCCAATGTGGTAGAGACATTCTTTAGTAGTGCAGGTTAGAAAATGCAGGGATCTGGCCCCACTGTAACGTGACGGTTTACTTTCCACGAGCAATGCCGGCCCGTGGGCTGGGGTGGGCTGGGGTGACATGAATGAATTGACAAGGCGAGCTCGTGCGATTCCCTCACGCCTGCCCGCGCTTTCCAGATCATCTTGGGAGCCTGGAGCGACGACACGGGCATGATCCCCGATCTGTTGGTTCTGTCTTTCGCTTTCTCGTCTTTTATCCCTTTTGGCTTGGATTTGTCCATGTCTGGCTCGCTTTACGAATTTATGGCTGGCCGGTGACCGATCGAACATCGAACGCAGGGCTGTTGCCTGCAAAACGAACGTGTGTCCTTTACCATTTTTTGGGGTCCAACTACGAATGCTTACCTGGATGCTGGATGGCTGCGATCCCACAGAGTAAACTGGTTTTGATGGATGACATCAATTGTTTGTGTATGTGTAGTGGTGGCCAATTAACTTCTTTTTTGAGGGGGTGGTGGCCAATTAACTCCCCCCCCCCCACCCCCCCAAAAAAAAGCCTACTTTTTTGCACTATCACGGTGTAAAAATAGTCTTACATTTTTGTACGGAGGGAATAGTTTTCACAAAGGTTGTCATGCTTTGGTAGAAAAAAAACATAAATACTCCCTCCATTCCTAAATACTTGTCTTTTTAAAGATTTCAAATGGACTACCACATACAGATGTATATAGACATATTTTAAAGTGTAGATTCACTCATTTTGTTTCGTATGTAGTCATTTGTTAAAATCTCTAGAAAGACAAATATTTAAGAACGGAGGGAGTAGTTTGCAGGCGCATACAAAAGAATATGTTTGTTCTACAATACATGATATTTTAGATACTGCACGTTCTCCAATGTGCAATTTTGGCCATTAATTGTTGTATAAATATGTAAATAAACAATTACGACAACATTTTGAAACTATTCTCCTTGAAAAATCTAACAGCGACACAACCAAACCTATATAAATATTGTGCTCAAACTCCAATATGGATGGCTATGTTTGGTAAATGTTAAAAATTTGACGTGCTACCGAACATACAGATTTGTCATACAAAAACAGATAAGTTTGTCATGTTGCTGTGTAAGATTTACCATGTTCTAAAGTGATAATTGTCATGCAGTACCCCGCAAAAAAAAGATAATTGTCATGTAGTTTAAGGAAATTGTTAAAAAAAATCGCTACAGCAAGTAATTACCATGCGTTCGATCAGACATCAGATTTTTACAGTTAATTTTTACAGCGAGTAATTGTCATATTGACTTTTGAAGAACTTGCGGGCCGCAGAGGTACTTATGACATCGGTAAGGCCCATGATGTTGTCGCTAGGCAAAAGAAGCCCATATGGCCAACCGTAGCACGGTCCGATGCCGCTTCTCCAAGCAAAGCGAGAGGAGTTACTCAAAAAAAAAAAGCAAAGCGAGAGGAAAGGTCTCCAATCGAGAGGCATCAACGGGGTCCACGACGCAGGCTTGTGGTGCCCCCATCCCATGGCGCCGTGGCTGCTGCTCCCCTCCTTCCCGTGGCCTCCCCCGCCCCCTCCCGGCTCCTCCTCTGGCCGCGGCGGCGGAGGCGGTGGAGGCGACGGCGGAGACTGGAAGCCCAACGTCGTCACGGCCATCGCCGGCGTCCACCTCGGCCGCTCCCTCCGCCGTCGCCTCGCCGGCCTCCTCAGCTCGCCGGTACTGGCGCTCTCGCTTAGCCTTCAATTCACTCTTCTATTGTGATGACGCAAACTGTCGGATTTTCACTGGCGACATCTAAGCCTATTTTAGGTAGCTTTATTAGTTAAGACTTATCACTTGTAATATACTGTGATATCCTTCAGTCTCTAGTTATACAGATGTTGGTTGTTATCATGATCACCTATGCTGCCTTTGAACTCTTTAACTTTTCATGTTAGAAATTGGTTTAAGAATTTGTGAGCTCGCTGCATAACTTGATCTGAACTGAATTGTGCAATGCGTAGGAGGTGCGGTCTCTTGATGTCTTACCGAGAATAGGCGACATTTGGTTTGGAGGATTACAGCCACTTGACACACACCACGTTCTTGGGGCGCTGGGAAATGTGTACTCCGCATCGTTTGTTTGCAGTTCTGCTTTCTTCGGTGGGAATAGATCAGGTGGGAGATACGTCGGTAGCGGAAATTTGCAGCCCAGACGGCCTCGTGGGATCAATTCGAAGAAGAGGCTGTGGACTAATGTTCTTCTTGCTGTTAATATCCTGTGAGTGATTGCTCAATTTAATACGCATGATTCCCTTCTATTCGATAGTAGTATTAGCCTCCTTTCAGCATTTGTGGATTAACACAGTTTTACTACTTTAACCAAAGGGCTTATATCGCTCAGATAGCATCGCAAGGAAAGCTTATTATGTGGGGAGCAAAGGTTGGTACGTGTTGAAATTTCCATTTCACCTATACTCTGTTTATTTTTTGACTTATGGGACTGCAACCATGATTTACGATGGAAGGTCAACAGCCTAATTGATAGAGGGGAATTTTGGCGTTTGGCTACATCAACAATTCTTCATGGAAATCTTACTCATCTTGCTGTATGTGATCCTGTTTCTATCGAGAATTAGAACTATACTCTACAAAATGACCATTGCTAACTTTCCTTCCTATCATTGTGGCAATGCAGTTCAATTGTTTTTCGTTGAATTCGATTGGCCCTACTGTGGAGCTCGTTACTGGTCCTAAAAGATTTCTTGCTGTTTATTTCACTTCCGCACTGGCAGGTGTTTGTTTCTCCTTGTTACCTGTTTTTGGTAAATTCATGTGGCGGTGTGATTGCTGTCTGCTTCTTGGTTCATAAATGATTCTTCATTCTTCGAACTGTAACAGGTTCACTAATGAGTTATCGCTATTGTCAATCACCTTCTGTTGGCGCATCAGGGGCCATTTTTGGACTGGTATGTCTAGTTCATTTCCAAAATACAGTTACATAAATACATCAGGGGCCATGAGTATTTTATTATGTATGATGCTTTATCATGGTTGCTTAACCCTACAGCATGGCATAATTTACTAGCAATATGAAATTACGAAATGTCACTGGTAGATCAGAACATAGATCATCTGTTGTAATTTGTTCAGATTGTTTCATCATTATTTCTTTCTATTCTACGACCTCAAAGTTGGAAACTTCAATTTGACCCAGTTCTATGTACTACATTAGTGTATATCTTTTGTTTGCACGTCTTGATTGAGTTGGCCTTTAATGTACTCCCTCCGGTCCTTTTTACTTCGCGTATTAGGTTCGGGTCAAGTCAAACTTTGCAAAGTTTGACCAAATATATATTAAGAAATATCAACATCCACAATACCAAATATATACTCCATGAAACTACATTTCATAATGAATCTAACAATATTGATTTGGCATTGTAAATATTGATACCTTTTTCTACAAGTTTGGTCAAAGTAAAGATGCTTTGACTTCAAACAAAACTTATATGCAGACTAAAAAGGACCGGAGGGAGTACATCGTTTTGTCTGCCGTAGTTGAGCATTTGAAAAATGTCATTTTGACCCAGTTCTATGTACTACATTTGTGTATCTTTTGTTTGCACATCTTGATTGAGCTTGCATGTACATCGTTTTGTCTGTCGTGCTGAGCATTTGAGAAATATCATATCATCTTGACCCAGTTCTATGTACTACGTTTGGTGTATCTTTTGTTTGCACATCTTGATTGAGCTGGTCTTTAAGGCCTTGTACAATGCAAGGTGCTTAGAGGGGTACTTCGAAAAATAAACCGATTTTTGTCTAAGCACCGGTGCTTATTTACAGAGGACAAACGCTTAATTAGGCACCCCTGCTATAGAGATAAGCAGCTGGTGCTTAAGAAAAAATCGGTTTATTTTACTAAACACCTCCCTAAGTGGCTTGCATTGTACAAGGCCTAATGTACATCGTTTTGTTTGTCGTACACTCGTACCTGAGCATTTGAAAAATATTATATCATTTGGACCCAGTTCTATGTACTACATTGGTGTATCTTTTGTTTGAACATCTTGATTGAGCTGGCCTTTAAATTTTAATGTACATCGTTTTATCTGTCATACTTGAGCATTTGAATAATATCATTTCTAATTGCCACCAGTATTTTGTACTAACAACAAGAACCGTAGGCCTATTCTTATTTAGTTAAGAAATTCATGATATACGTTCCTACATCATTTTATCACCTTATGTGTATCATCAGGTTGGTGCCTATGCTGTTTATACATGGAGGCACAGAAAGCTTTTGGGGCATGGAAGGGAAAGTTTAGAGCAGATCGCACGTGTAGTCATCTTAAACATGGTAGTGATTTATATATTTCCACTTACCTCATGTTTCTTTGTTTTTGCTATTTGCTTTGTCCCATCTAGAAATCTCATATATTCGGTTTGATACAGGGTATGGGTCTCCTTTCAAGGGGCATTGACAACTGGGGTCATGTAAGTCTCCCAAACTTCTGCATAATTCATTCCGCGCTGTAATGAAATGTTTATCTCATGAGTTCACTTGATTAATAACAGCTAGGAGGCTTGCTCGGGGGAGTGGCTGCGGCATGGTTTCTTGGTCCAGCTTGGCAAAACCAGTATGTAGCAAAGGATGGAAGAATGGTGTTCAAAGACAGGGCACCCATTCACCAGCTAATAGGCAGTAAAAGATCACGGTAACTGCGTGTATGATAGCCGTGCTCCTATTTTTACTGTGTATAATAGCTGAGACACGTGGGACAGGAAAGATAAAAGAAAGTAAGAAGGAAGATTGGGACAACATACCAAGCAAAGGGAGCAGCCGAAAACCATGGCTGATACCTAGTTCTGCAGAAGAAATCACCCACCATGCCCATGTGTGGCGGCTGCTGAGCTAGCTCTAGCTCAGAGAAGACCAGTGCCTCTGTGCTCACTTGGAGCTAGTTGCTGTGTTTGGATCACCTGCAGCTGTTACGATTGTGACAGGGTATGGTCAGGCGGTACTGACAATTGTATTTTACATTGTTTATTTATCAAGCATTGGTAGCACCTCATTGATAATCATTTGTGTAACTGAATTCATGATTGATCCTGCTAACTATGGGTATTGATCATTCTTGTCACCACTTTGTTTTATTTCGGTGCATGGATAAGATCTGATGACTGTTGTGGCATGCCAATAAATATATTGGGCACCTGTGTTCAAAAAGAAGTAAGTTGCGCACCAGCAAAATTCAGGACTTGCTACCCCTTTCTCCCTGAAGTTCTTTTTCTCGTTTTTCCTTTCTTGATTTGGGATTTGCGCTCCCGGCTTCAGCTTGGTTTAACTGAACATGAGCTCACAGTACTAACGTGAACATTTACAAGTATTTTAGGGGATACTCCCTCCATAAAGAAATATAAGAGCATATAGATCACTAAAGTAGTAATCTGAACATCCTTATATTTCTTTACGGAGGGATACTTGATTGAATGCCAAATTCTGGCGAAGTTCCGCCTTTATTTTCCAGTAAATCTGATCAAATGTGGCACCAACCTAGTTCAACATACCAAATTTGGCACCATTTCGATTTTGAGTTAATAATGTTGACAGCTTGGCCAAAATATACGGTAATCCACTCCGGTGCCCGGGCTCAGATGAGCCCGGTGAACAGTGCCGTGATTAAAAATAGAAAAAAAAAAAAAAATTTACTGGAAGATGTTTGAGTGCATGACGTGCGTGCAAAATTTCATCCCATCTGGACATCTGTAGAGCTCGTGGCAAAAAAGAGAAATTCCCATCTGGACATCTGTAGAGCTCGTGGCAAAAAAGAGAAATTCGGCCAGAACCGTGCGTGAACAATAACCTTACAGAGACAAAATATAACCTTACAGAGCCAAATTTTGTCTTTTTTGTCACGTACTCCTCAAATGTCCAAATTCTACCAAATTTTGCACAAACATCACGCACACAAGTATTTGCTTGGAAAAAAACAGAATTTCTTGCTTTTCTGATTTTGCCCAGGCTCATCTGAGCCCTGGTGCTGAAACGCCGCACTCCAAAATATAGGCTCATTTTATTCCCACCAAGGTGGAGGTGGAGCACATGAAAGGCAAGCCAAAAGCTGTAACCTCTGTGACCTAACTTTGATATTTCAACAACATAAGCAAGCGTGCCACAGTACAAATGCTAAATTACCACTCAGCACGAAAAGGCCCACGGCATGAAATGCCACATCAAAGATGAGCGTTGTAGTATGCTGAATATGTCACAGGTAAGAGCATGAGTACATTCTTCTCTACCATAAGCCCCCAGCCCTTCGGCGAGACCTTAAGAGTACACATTCTTCTCTACCACAAGTCCCCAACCCTTCGGTGAGACCTTACAATTTGGTAAAGGCGTAAGGCAACATAAACCCCTGTAAATTAGCATAATATAGACCTATATCTACAGTTATATCCGCCTCAGATGGTCCGGAATTCACCATACACAGAACCCGCCTTTGCAGCATCTTCCCAGTTCAGGAAGTTCCAAGCAGCAAAATTGCAACCACATCGACCTCATATTCAGGATAGATTTGTGAACAATGGAGCAGATACATTGGAAGCAATCTGACCATCACTTCAGGAATGGAGGAGAGCTGCAAGTTTACACTCGAATGAGATTTATTTTGCTCATAAATTACCCAGGGGCAGAGAACTGAAAAGCAAATTGAAGCAGCACATATGTAACTGAAGCAGACTTCAGCTGGCAGCAGTACTTGTGGGTTTTGAAAATTCGGATTCAATCAATGCAATTTCGCTAACGGGATACATACATAAATCAAATGTCCACCAGACCTGATTGCATATCAATCCATAGGGTAGTGTTGTACGAAAGAAGCACCCAATGCACCACAAGACAAAATATTAGGTTAATTCAAAATAATACAATACATATCTTCTATCTTCAATATGATCATTTATTTTCATTTAAAGGAAAATAACCCTAATACTTTATCTATTAGATACAAAACAATGCAGTAGATTCATTGAGTGTCTCAATTCAAAAGTCAATGGCTACTTGGCTAGAACTAAAGCACTTCAAACTAACTATCCAAATAATAAACATTAAATTAGAAATACAACCCTAAGTACATGCTACAGAGATAAGAGATCAGATACTTACAATACGGAGATGGAGCAATTGGAGGAGACTTGGTTGTTGTGCCACTTCGTTTCTTCCGTGGAGGAATGGAATGTCGAAAATGAGGCACTGGGGGTGAAGGTATCGGCATCATTTGATAAGTTGGTCCAGGGACTGCGTTTGGTACATGATTGGGGGATGGTAAGGGATGGGGAGGATCTACACGGCCAGGGATTGGTGGAAATGCTGGAGGAAGGTATGGTTTATGAACTGGGGGGGATGGAACAGCAGATGGCTGTGGTGAATGCACAAATGGAGGCAGCTTAGGGCCACTACCAAAGCAGGGTGGTTTTAACATTGGCCTACCAGCTGGAGGAAAGGGGTTACAGTCAGAACATGGAAAACAAGGGGGGTGGTTTGGTAAAGGGGGAGAAGCCCGAGGGGAGGGACTAGAGGTTGGGGGTGCAAGGTACGGGACACTCCCAGATGGTGACAAAGATGGTGGTACACTTGTAGAAGGTGATGGAGAGGGGGATGGATATGGAGATGGTGAAGGAGCTGGACTAGGAGATAAATATGAGATTGAGTGTTGCAGATACGATGACAGCTGAACTCCTTTTACCTTACCAAATACAGAGTGATTAAGCCCAAGGTTCCTCGCGTCAGGTTCTTTGATTAGCTCAGCTAGTTGTTTCAATCTATATGGCAACAGAATACTAGTCCCATCTAACACCGATGCCTCAATAGTTGCTGGGGCTTCAACTGAAGAACCAATTTCATTCCTGAACTGCAAGTATATTCTCTGCATATATATGATAGACAGTGAGCTTAAATTCAAAAAATGAAGCCAGAAAATCGGTAATAATACCTCGTCGAAAGTGATTAAATCGGTGATACCTCATAGGACCTCAAGTTCAATCCAAATTCCAATTGATTTTTTAGCTCTGTAAGATTACCCAAGATCTGACCAATGGAGTTGTTCAGCACAAAGTTGAATAGTGGGTCTGTGCTTGCCCATACAGAACCAGATTGCGCAGGAACAACAGTAATTCCTCCAGGGAATCCCAACAACTCGATGGAAGATGGATAACCAAAAATTGATGGTGTCAAGGATAGGTTCAGCTGCTTCAGCATCATCCCTATTAAGGATGACCTCAGTACACTAAGGGCCGGCAAACTTATTGAAGCATCTTTTGGATAAGGAAGAACACCAAAAACCACACGCGTGGAGTATTTAGAAGCTAAAGAGTGCATCGAAACAATGGAAACCTGTTTTAAAACATATTTGGATTAACCAATGGTAAAGGCAGAAGAATAGAAGAGAAATAAGAAAATTCTGTCACCTTGCTATTAGGTACACCAATCTCTTCAAATATGTCACTCCCTATTCTGTCCATGTGAGCAGCGAGGAACGATACTGGCTTTTCCAACGTGAAACCAACCTGGATTTCAGCTGAAACAGAGAAAAGAGTCCTTTAGTCGATACTCAAATCCACCATTACGCATCACTATATAGTTCTGTGAAGTAGAAAATGCAAATGACATTTTTACAAACAAACATATGGGCAAATAGAAATAGACAAGCTCTAGGAAAATGTTCGCCAAGTTAGCCAAGATGAAGGGACAATGTGGTTTAGCTTTTGTTTAGTTTAGCACAGTTCAGTAGAAGTAAATAACTAACCTAGTGGTAAAATAGGATTGCTAGTAATGGTTTGAGAGATAACAACCAGTCAATAAAGAATCACTCTAGCACTTCCGCGGACAGGGAGTGACTAGGGGTATAAAAAGCTACAGGTCAAATGCACTTGACATAAATGTGCCACAAATGCGAGGGACTGGGAGCGTGTTTGGTTCGGGTCCTTGCTGCCAAACGCCTGGCCTGGAGCTTCCCTGGGAGCAGCCTGGTCTTTGTTTGGTTAGATTCCTGAAAAACTAGACCAGTGCATGACCTGGATCGTCCAGGCAGTTGGTTAGACTCAGGCATCCTATTCTGGTAGCCTGGATCATGGAAAGCAGCAGCCTGGCGTTAATACAGCACTTTGCAGATGGATTACAGGCCAGTATGTCAGTACATATATTTATTTAATCCTTTGATGGCTTCCCAGGCCTAGGGCAGGATCCAAACAGCTACCTGTCCAGGCTGACAGGCCAGGCCAAAAAATCAAAATCCAGAAGCCCAGGCGGGGCAGCACTTTCCTCCAGGCATGCAGCCCAGGGCAAACAAGCTATCCCTAGTTAGCACAGCCACCATTACTGATAAGAATGTACAGGCGTCAAACTTAGTATATACTAGCACAGAAAATTTATCTCAACAGGAAAGACAAAATGCATATAGAAGAACCAAGTGATACAGAGATTAAAGAGGGCAGTAGAGCACTATGGCACTACCGTATATAAGTTATTAGATTAAGATTGCATGGTAAGCTATTAGATAAGAGTACCTTAATTACATGGTAAGATTTTATTGTCCTGCAAACATTTGAGACACCTTAAGTAAGGAGTTTATATTCTACTTAAGCCCTTAGAATCCAGGGCTAAGAAAATGCTAGCATAGGTAGTGTGAGTTTAATTACACGTGAGAACCCAATTAAATCTTGATGAAAAATATGACGAGTTTGAGAATGTGAGGTTGCTCAAGCCACTTCATACAGGTCCCAAATATACAACTATTTAAACTTCATGGTCTGGGCAAAGAACAATAACCATATTTTACACTTAACTACAGAGAAATATACCTTCAATCATTCACTGAACAATTTCTTATCTAATTCATAGGCGTGCATAAGTATGGTAGGTATGCCAACAACATAACACACACCCGAGAACACTTCACGTAAACACTTAATAGCAAAATACGAGGACGCTTGTAAATTGTAATTAATCCGTAGCCTAGCCAACACAACCATGCAATGCCAGTGAAAATGAAGCCAATGACATGTATGGCAAGCCTCCATTTAAATGAGCATCTTATACAGGCAGGGTAAAGTAAACACAGCAACCACGTCTGGAATCACCAGTACACTACCACCAGCTTATGCAGTAGGAAATTCATAAATCCACGACCCTTGTTATCATGACAAAAGTAGTGATCTAAATGCTCTTGTATTTCTTTACAGATGGAGTACTCTGGAAACAAATTACACATCTAACTTTGACAGAAACAAGCCAAGAATTCTACACCCTGTGTGTGTGTGTTTTTTTGAAGGCTACACCCTGTGTGTTGGGAAACCCATGAAAGAGCAAATCATACAGGCACAGGCTGTATACAAAAAGAAAAATACGGGAACCCGAGTACCATGTCCAAGTGACCTCTAAGGCTCTAACAAGACATTTCCAGGAATAACTTCTATGTTGCATCAATCATAACAATTGCCTTCAAACCCCAGGTCATAACAGCAAAACCTATATGAACTTGTAATTCAAACTATCTAAGTAAGGTTTCAACTGAATCCAGAATCTGAAATTCATTACAAGAAGAGAAGTAGAGAACCAATCGTTCACCAACCAGAGACAGCCAATTGTCCCAGAGCACCAGCCGACCGAAGTTGAGTAGTAAAATCGTGCAAATCCTAGATCCAGGGCGGATGCATCGAAGCATCGAACAGCAGCCCGAGGTGATGAACTCGCAGTCGTCCCATCTCGTCGATCCGCTGTCTAAGGCCTAATTGACTGAGTCGTCACTGCACCCACGCGCACGCGCAGTAGACCAACTAAACCGACTAATCGCTAACCACGAGGAAGAAGAAGTTAAGCGGTGGAGGCGGAGAGCTCACCGGCGAGAACGTCGGGGTCGCTGGAGAGGTAACCCTTGGGGCGGGAGGGCAGGAGGAGGAACAGCGCCGGGACGAGGACCCCGACAGCGAGCGCGAGCACGAAGACGCACCGGAACGAGACGGAGCGGCCGACCGCGCCGGCGAAGCCGCACCCCCACCCTCCCCCTCCTCCTCCTCCGCCGGCGATCGCGAGGCCTCCCGCGCCGCCGAGCTCGACATCGACGGGCTTCCCCATTCCGAGCGCATCTGACTCCGCCCCCACGACCCCCAGCTCCCCGCCGCCGCCGCCGCCGCAACCACCCGCGGGCGCGCGTGGAGGCCGCCTGGACGACTAGCCGCGCCGCGCTTCTACCTCCCGCCGGCGAGACTGTCGGTTAAGTAGGGTTTTTTTCCCCTCTCCCCGCCTCGTCTCCCCCCTTGGATTTATCCCCTTGTTTTGTGCCTGAGGTGGGTGCCAAGTATGCGGATGGATTTCGACGGGGAGCTTTCTCCTCCTTTCCCCCCTCCCTCTTTGCTTTGCTCAGTGCCCGAGCCATGTGCTATTTTTTGCCGAGATATAGTACATTCGCGTGAGGGTACGATATTTCTTTTTTGAGCTGTGAGTAGGAGTGTTTTTTACTGCGGCCATTTCGTTTGGGCATCGCCGTCAGTGACGCTGCCTGATGACCACCTGGCTCTGGCTGCGAGGCCAAATCCCACCTTGCTTTCCCGACCAACCGGGCATGTGAGGACATGTGGCGAGCTACCTCACTTGCCATTTCTTTTCTTTTTTTTGGCTTCTCATCAGCTTCGTCACAGGTCACTTGTCAACTGGGACGCACACTTGTGCAGCCACCGAGTGCGCTTTTGTTTAGTGACCGCACCGGCTTTGCGTGTTTTGTGTAGCGTCCGTGTCATTAGGTGGCCGCCATAGACTGGCTTTGGCTGGCCCCGGTCAGTTGGTTGGGGGTTCACCAGAGAATTCCTACTCTTGTTTGTATTACACGTACCGCGTGATGTGGCGCAATGTATGACAGGTGTAGTAAGCAATGGTATCCCTAGTTTCAAAGGAAAAAAGCAATAGTATCCCTTACGTTCCACAAAATATAAGGTCATCTTCAACACAGACCCTTGACCCGCCTGCATACGTCCGGATCATGCTGTCCGGACATGTTGTGTCATCCAGTGCGGGTTTGTACCGGTTAACAGGATAGTCCGGACGCACTTTCTCTCGCAAACGTAGAGGCTTTGTAGGCGTCCGGACCGCTCCCAAACCCGCATCTAATCGACTGGCCCACCCAAACCCACCTCCCGCGCTTTTCATCCCACGCGCCGGGCCGCTTGCCGTACCGCATTCATGTCGGCCTAAAGCAGGCAGTGTTCAGCATTGATGTCCGTGATTTGACCGAACGGGAAGGCGGTGCAAACAGACGCGACCTCTCGGGTGTCGCTGCTTCAATGCAGACGCCGCATCACGAGAAACCTACTTCAGCTGCTGCACCACACTGAAGCGGGCTGGCCGACCCTCCGTCTGGCCTGGCCGTGGCTATTTAAGACCTACATTGGTGACGCACAGATCCACACCCCCCCTGCCTGGCATCGCACCGTCCTTCTCTCCCTCGCCATCACCTCGCTGAGCCCTTCCTCATATTTGAGCCCATCGGCGATGCCGAAGTCCTAGTTCTCCGCGCCGGTAGAAGTTTCTCTTCAGGCGGATCGTGGTGCCGCCGACCTTGCTCTGCGGGACCATCTGCATCCACGACGGCGGGCTCCTCTGGCGACGAGGAGGACCAACCACAACAGAGGCCCCATCTTCTCTCGGAGGCGGCTTCGACGGACGAAGAATTCGTTTGTCAGATGGAGATCATGACGGGGTTTTCCCTCCATCACATGGGCCCGGCGCCGCCATCGCCAGCGCACGTAAGCGGGAGTCGGCATCCCCACTGCGACAGGTGAAGGATGAGCCGGTGTCCCTACCACGCAACCGCGGGCTCCAAATTGGTGGCCATGTGAAGCAGGATTCGGCATCCCCTTAGCATCTCCGCCGTGTGAAGGACAAGCCGGTGTCGCCCCCGCCGCACAACCGCTACATGTTGGGAACGCAATAATTTCAAAATTTTCCTACGCACACGCAAGATCATGGTGATGCATAGCAACGAGAGGGGAAGAGTGTTGTCCACGTACCCTCGTAGACCGTAAGCGGAAGCATTATGACAACGCGGTTGATGTAGTCGTACGTCTTCAAGATCCGACCGATCCTAGTACCGAAAGTACGGCACCTCCGCGATCTGCACACGTTCGGCTCGGTGACGTCCCACGAACTCTCGATGCAGCTGAGTGTCAAGGGAGAGCTTCGTCATCACGACGACATGATGACGATGATGATGAAGCTACCGGCGCAGGGCTTCTCCTAAGCACTACGACGATATGACCAAGGTGGATTATGGTGGAGGGGGCACCGCACATGGCTAAGGGATCAATGATCAACTTGTGTGCCCTAGGGTGCCCCCCTGCCCCCGTATATAAAGGAGCAAGGGGGGAGGTCGGCCGGCCCTTGGGGCACGCCAAGGAGGGGAGGAGTCCTCCTCCTAGTAGGAGTAGGACTCCCCTTTCCTAGTCCAACTAGGAGGATGAAGGGGGAAGGAAGGAGAGGGAGAGAAGAGAAGGAAAGGGGGGTGCCCCCCCCCCTTCCCTAGTCCAATTCGGACTAGAGGGGAGGGGGCGCGCGGCCCTGCCTTGGCCGGCCCTCTCTCTCCACTAAGGTATCCGGATCCGGCTATACGCCATACTTCGGCACCGCCCACTTCAAATATGGAACCTCCTCGATGGCGGGGAACGAGGCAAAAGAACTTCTTCCATAATTCAAAATGGGCCTCGATGCCTAAGAATAGCTTGCAGAGGGCAACGAAACCTGAGATATGCAGAATCAAACCTGGGGTGAGGTTGTGTAGTTGGATGCCGTAAAATTCCAATAACCCCATGAGAAAGGGATGGATTGGAAAACATAGGCCCCGCAACAGGAATGGGATGAAACACACCCTCTCCTCCTTATTGGGGTTGGGGAAGTTCTCAGCCATCACGTCGTTGCTGATTGAGGCCAATCCCGCTCGAACAGAGACTAGATCCACGAGGGGAAGATAGCCCTACGTCTGGAGTCAGCTCAGCTGAAGATGAGGCACGGAGCAACTCTGCTAATCACCCTCTTGAGGGCCATGGGGCGCGAAGAGGAGCTTGGGGCACTAGCCATAATGGAGGGCTCTATTCATGGCTAAACTTGGCACTTTTCCTTTTTGCGCGTTGTGGGATGGCATTGGGGGATCTACAACCCCTTATATAGATGTCGTCTGAGCATGGTGGGGCCTGTTTGCAAAAAAGCATGGACCGTTCGTATTCACTTAGCGCGCGGAAATTGAAGCGACAACAGGGAGGAAGCGTAAGAGGCAGGAACATCAAGGTCATGGCCGGACTGACATTGATACGAAGTATAATGAAGAACCTGTCTTGCAAAGCCGAAGACATAATATAGATACTACTCGTCGTTGAAGGCTAGTTCGGGGGCTACTGAGGGAGTCCTAGATTAAGGTGTCCTCGGGTGTCCGACCCATGTGTTATGGGCCGGACTGATGGGCCGTGAAAGATAAAGAGTAGAAGGCCTTCCCCCGTCTCCGGATGGGACTCTCCTTTGCGTGGGTGACAAGATTGGCGTCCGGATGTATAGATTCCTAATTCTGTAAACCGACTATGTACAACCTTAGGCCCCTCCAGTATTTATATAATCCAGAGGGTTTAGTCCGTAGAGACAATCAGAATTCATATAGGCTAGACGGCTAGGGCTTAGCCATTACGATCTCGAGGTAGATCAACTCTTGTAACCCCTATACTCATCGAAGTCAATCAAGCGGGAAGTAGGGTTTTACCTCCATTAAGAGGGCTTGAACCCGGGTAAACATTATGTTCCCTTTGTCTCCTGTTACCTTCGATCCTCAAACGCACAGTTCGGGACCCCTACCCGAGATCGGCCGGTTTTGACACCGACACTACCCGCATAGCCTTTTCATTTAGTCTACCTAGCCGTCTAATCAACTTCCTGCAGGCCACTTCTCCCATTTACTTCTCCATCGGGAATCGATTTTCCTCGGCTTCTTCACCTCTCCTTCATCTTCATTTGCATCCAAACCACACTGCATTCACATTGTTTTAACCTCTTCACATCATCCTGGAGTAATTCCGAACCCCCCTTAAAATAATCATCTTATTCAGTTAGACTAGCCATCTAATCCTAATTCTCCAAACCATAGCCCTCCGGTCCAGCGGTTCCAAATGGCGAAAGAGATCCAGATGCAGGTTTTTAGCGTCCAACATGTCCTCGTGAAGGCTCATTGAGCATAGTTGCCACAGTCACCGACCACCCAAGGGTTGTTCGGAAGTGGATCAACAATGTATCCAACTCCCTCCAAAAGGTGGAGATGAAGGTCATCGGTCTCGACGCAGAGTACACGGAGTGTGCCACTGGGAAGATCCAACGCGCCGCCGTCCTTCAGCTGTGCCTCGAAGATGATGTTTTGGTGTACCACGTCATACACGAGCCCTTCATACCAGGTGAGATTCACGATTTCTTGTCTCAGGAGGACATATACTTCTGTGGGGCAGCCATCGCAGGGGACAAACAGAAGTTGGAGCCGTACAACCTTGATTTGAAAAGCATCGCTGACGTACAAACCAAAATAAAAATCCATGTAGAAGACTATGATAAACCGACACCATCCCTATTCGACGTAGCAAATTTTGTGCTCGGAAAAAAATCTTCTGAAGGGTGACGAGACACTGGCATTAAGGTCGTCTGGATGGGAGAATTTTCCCTTGACGTATGAGCGGATAAAATATGCTGCCCTCGATGCCCATGTGAGTTTCGAGATAGCTGCAAGGTCCAGAGAGCTTGTTGCGAAGCCGTCTCCCACAGAAAATTAGAAGAAGAAGAAGAAGAAGAAGAAGAAGATACACCAGCAGCAGGGCATTATGGATGGATGAACTATTTCCTCTGTTGTAAAAAAATTATTCCCTCTCTGTGTATACTGATATAGATGGACTATTTCGATGGTGTGCATGTCTTTGGAACAAGTAGAAGTATGGGTCCGCTTGACTATAAGGAACTATTTATCCGCCTAACTTTCTCTACTACTCCTTCCAGTGATCGGTATGCAATGCATGTGTCCGTAGACACGACAACTTGTCCATGGAAGTACAACTACGACGACC